CAAAGTCATCGATACGTGTCATGCTGCATGACACAATTTCGGAAGATGACCTGTCAAGGCGTCAGACAAGTACAACACTGCAAGACACATTGTGGGGAATATTGTATGGACGCTTCAAATAATTGATCCTCATGCGCGAGGGTTGTACTTGACGGGTGAGTGTTTTTTGCCGCATTAAAAACTCCATTTAATATTCCAGCAATATCACAGATAGAGGATACCAGAGATATCTAAATGGTCTGGATACTTCAGTGAGGATAATCCCTCATTCAAATCCTTCATGATTTGGTTGTTGATGCTTCTACTGACATCATCATGACAATTTATTTGGGCTGAAGCGGAGAAAACCGACATCAATTCAGAGTTTTCTAAACTGGCATCCACATCCACATTTGGAGTTGTAATGATAGTGCCTAGCCACGGAGCATGTATGCATGCAGGCGAAGTCTCTCCTTGTTAACTTTGAGGATTCAAGATTGGCCGTTGTTAACTTTGAGGATTCAAGATTGGCCGTTATGAACTTCCAGCTTTCTGCAAATGGTGATAAACGGCCCCCACTGGACCCTGAAAGACCGTGTAGGAAATACGAGTACCCGTCATTGTGTGTACTCATGGGTGCGGCCCGTGCTAGTAATGTCTTGTATGTCTCAAGATCAAGATGGTTTATTGTACATAAGGCCTCTGGCCCGTATACATAGTATTGTAATGACAGGCAGGGTATGGACATTGCAAACAGTGGAAAGCATCATAACATGGTTGTCTGAATTAAGTCATGTTATTTGGACATCGGGTAGTCGTACTTCTTGATATGGCGCCCTTACCCGTACCCATTGGAATGAGTTTCTGCTGTCCTGTAAGAGATTCCCCTCCTCAGATCTTCTATTGGCCCTGCGTGGAACACACGATAGGGATTACTTGCGTTGTGATGAGGACGACGATGGGAGAGCCCTGTGGACCTTTCTGAATCTTCCTCTGAATTCAAAAAGTTCCATTTCCTCTTCACATTTCCAATTGAAGAACTATTCAGCCGGCACCTTCGAAAGGAGCATATCCGTGGATGCATGGCACAAACATGCATGGTACACATTACTGAGGTGAGTTGAGGTAAAATTGGGTTTTACGTCGTGCTAGAGAATATTTCGCTCATATGGCGACGTGCATGCGTGTGTATGTGTATGTGCGGCTGCTTGTACTAGCCCAGACTTAAGCTGGTTTTATAGTGCTAGCTCACTGCGATACCATGTCGCAGTGAAGCATGAATACCCCACTGAGACACATTATACTGACTCCGAGGCGACCAGTCCTTGTTGTACCCATTAATGCCGAGCGCCAGACAGGGACCAACAAGTATACACATTACTGTATCACGCCAGTCGTAAAATAGCTAATACAGTCATGGCTATACATATACATATACATGCTACGTATACATGATACAAAGTACAGTATCATGGTGGTATAAAATACTTTACTGTACAAATAAACTCATACCAGTATGCTAATGTACTCGCACACAATACATCATTTATTTGTCTAAAATACTAAGTATGCATATATTTAAAGACAAACACCTACAGTGTAACATACACTAAATATTATATAACACTATTCCTTAAAACATGTAATCTATAACACTAAATCCTAATAGCCCTGCAGTACATATACTACTAAAACATCTCACTGAACTTACTCCATAATGTGCTGGTGTTGTGCTGTGGTCGCCAAGGAGAAAGATGTGGACTGCCACCAGTGAAAGGTAGTAGAATGCTGACAAGAAGGTCGGTGATAGCTGAAATCTATGAAACAATAGGCACCTTTAAAACAGGCCAGTGCAGAGATTGAACAATTCGTCACCACTCGCCCCTTTCCGTAACCTCCAAGAAGATTTGTCCCCCTATCGATGCTTGTTATGTGCGAAAATACAACAAACCAATCACAACGCGCGTAATGGTTTTGGTGATTTCATAAAAAATATTCCAGCCTTGTTAAATCGTTTATGGCATTATGTTATTGTTAAAGATATTATGAAATAATAATGTAGCTAAGAGAATTGTGTTATCTATTGTGATTTTTGATAATCATGCTAATGACGGTGAGACATTCAAATACACGAACGTGCGTTTGGTGACATAACGGATCTCACTGGTCCAACTGAGTGTATTTCTGACGACCTTGCAGGCCTGTTGTGGTGATTGTACGTGCGCTTCCAACAGTTTTAGGGAATGTAATTATACATCCCTATGAGTTTCAAAACAATAACATTATATCTGTTTGTAACTAATCAACTTTAATCTTTAACATTGGGCATATATTTCATATCTCTGGGAATAGTTTAGTCTCACTCTTTTACGGTCATTCATATATTTTCAGCGAATTCATGTAAAATTCCACTTGGGGTATGACAGCAAGGTTACACTTATGTCCGGTTTGAGAAATATACTCATGCCAATAATGGTTGTCACCCCCTTCAATTTTTTTAATTGGAGAGGGGGTCTGGGGTGGGGGTGTGAGGTGTGCGTGGGGTTAGGGTGGGGAGGGGGTGACAAACCATTATTGGCATGAGTATATTTTAAAGTGATATTTTATTTTCTGCTTTGGGATTAAATGCCAACGATTTTTTTTATAAATTTTATTTGCATATTCAATGAAACACATCCCATTTGTGACTGTTAAACCCTTTTCAGAAATATATTTGGAAATATAAGGTGAACATCTGGTAATAACATCTGGTTACGTCAGAATATGTCTTTAACAAATATGTTTTTCTCCTTCTTTTAGTTGTATCAAGGAGGTTTAATACTTTAAAATAAATAAGCAAAAACAGAAACAGCAATACAATGATTGAGTACTTCGGTGATATTAAGTACCCTTGGAATCAAACAGGAATAGAGTTATCGTTCCTGTTTGAAGTAGTTCTGATGTTCCTACGCCAATATGAAATCCTTCCAGAGGGGCACGAGTCGCTATTCGGCTTGTCCCGGAACAACAAGAGTTGGTCAAGAATGAGATTGAACCTGACCTTGAACAACAGACCCCAAGCTGACTGCCTCAACAAGCTTACCAGTGAGTTAGTGAAACAGTGTAAGTATTAGTGTCAACACAGGCCAGTTTGGTAATAATAGAGTTTTATACCTAAGTTTAAAACAATGAAGTTTAACACATTAAAATGGCACACCTTTATTAAGCTGTATTGTCTAGTCAAAGTCACTTGTTCTTCCTGGATTGGAATATGTTCAGATATTTTAACTGTAAAGCTTTGAAATGAAGGCGACTTCACTGGCAAATCTCTGTTATCTTCTTTCCCTGGTCTGGATACTTCAGTGAAAATAGTTCCCCATTCAAATCCTTGATGACCTTAGACTGAAGGATGACTCTGCGCTGTGTTCGGGGGTTGAGGACACTCTGGCTGTTGGATTACCATCGAAATGTCCTCTTTTCTGTATTTACTATTTTTTCACTTATTTACAGGTACAGTACATGTAGTCAATGTGTGCCGTTGATAGGTACCATTGTGCTGATATACAAGTATACAAAACAATCAATGATATTTCTATAGAAAAAAAGTCTGTAAATGTCATCATAGAGCATCATAACTTCAATAGTGTGTGTGTGTGTACATATGCATGCACGTATGTACATATGTATGTATGTATGTATGTACGTACGTACATACGTACGTGTGTGTGTGTGTGTGTGTGTGTGTGTGTGTGTGTGTGTGTGTGTGTTCGCATTGTAAATATATGAAATAACGATAACATAGACAAAATTATTCATCCGAAAATTTCTATCGAAATTTCCTGCTGAATTTCCATCAATATGTCCTCTTGATCAGGTAAAGGTAGCATTGCATCTGGAAATAGGGCATTTAGTGCAGCCAACCTGTCCGCAAATGTATGTCTGCCTGAATTGTTGTCTGAGGATTCCGTTCTTAAAGCCATAGATGTAAAATCAGGATCCTCTACAGCGCCTGTCAAATGGGCTGTACAATAGCCGTATTATAACCATATTTTGTGATTTAGGGCTGAAGTGTCTTGGCCCCTACAGATCGTGCGGTACATGCTGCCCGTGGAGCTTCTCACTTACTCAGATCCTGACTGCATCATTTGAGAAACGTGTCCGTGCGGTCCGTTGGTTTTGCAACTGGAAATGAAAAAATATATATAATCCCCATACAAAATGTTTGTCCCCTTACACTTTATATTGACAACCTTCACAACATTTCCTTTATCCCATATAAGAGAACTATCTGTCAAAATCTTAATAATGTTTCAACACGAGTAGACCATGGGTCCTATTGTTTGGTAGCTACTTTGAATGCTCGACTCGGGTTAAAAATGATATTCAGCAACCTGTGTTTGTAGTAAGAGGCAATTATTGGTCGGGTGGTAGGGATCGTTGACTTGGTTGATCTATGTCATCGTATCCTAGTTGTTTAGATCGATGGTCATGATGCCAGCCACTGGATTGTCTGGTAGTGAAAATATTCGAGTCTGGTCCAGACAGGTTTGGACACGATGATATGTGTCAACCAAGTCAGCGAGCCTGACTACAGATCCCGTTAGTCGCCTCCTGCAAGAAGCATGTAAGACCAGTTCTAACCCGGATGTATTAATGTTGTACAGGAATCATATCTGGCCTGGAGTGACGAAATAAATACGTTTTAGAAAGTTTACAAACATTATTATTGCCTATTGAGCGACGACTATCGATCATGGCAAACACTCAATGGATATCTAAGAGAATATCCCGTGGAGTTGATAAAGTTCAGATAAAGACTTTTACTGTTGTCGTCAACACATCTTCGTGAATCTAAACGCTAAACAGATTACTAATGCAAACACCCCACATCGAAATCTGTTTGATGTTTTACAACGTCAGTCACGCAAGAAATGTTTTCCACACCACACCACCCCTGTACACTTTTCTGGTTACTGGTTGTTTCGAGCAAAACAAAATAGTGCTGGCTTAGGTTTTCTAGTGCACAGTCTTCGTCAGGACGCTCACGCGTATACACGCCACTGCAGAAACTGCGTTGAATATGACAAGGATGTCCAGAAGTTCCTTATATATCCTGGCACTATGGTGGACGTGTTCGGTGGATTCAACAAGCGTCATTCAGGAGTGTAGTAATTATCACTATACTCAGGCGTCCACGCTTGATAATCAGCTCTTCTTCCACAGGCTGTTGTGGGAGAAGAACTCTACGAAGAAACTTGAATGTGCCACCTTCTGTTTCCAAGAGAAAACCTGTGTTAGTTTTCAAGTGAACACAGAAGAATCTGTCTGTCGAGGGTACGCCGTCACCTTCAACCCCACCTCTACGAGTGACTCAGCTCCAGGATATGTTCTGTACGAGTCAAAGAAAGGTAATTGTTCATTGTTGTATTTTCTCCGCTTCGTGGGTAATAGTTCAAGCAAAATTAGCAGGAACTTAAATTGGGGATTTCAGGAAACACTAAACTAAACCCATTTGCACCGTCACTGCAGCCTCGCACTTCATGAATATTATGCTTATGTTTGAAACACTTGTAGGCTTATTAGAGAGGGGGTTCTTAGATCTTATGTTGAACACAGCATCGATGGCATAAACTGTTGTATACATACTGCTATGTAGGAAATTAAAACAAACACATTTACCTAATCAAAATTGGTAGACCTCGTATTACTCTGTGAGTGGGGAGGGGATCAAATAACCCTCCGTCACCTAACAGGTCGTTAATCCGCTGAAAATAGATCATGACTTCGCTGTCTTTGGCGGAGCCTGCACGATCTGGTGTCCACTACCCTGATGTTGTGGGAATATTAAATCAGGGTAAAAATACAGTCACCCTCACTTTTTACAATGAATTTGATGCTGTAACAATAGTCAGAAAACATGATTTTGAAGTCTTCCAATTTTGTTGAAAGTATATGATATTGCGTTTGTCTAAACCCGGTCTTGTTCCATAATAGCTGAAATAGTGCCGATACGATGGTGTATTTCACTCACGAACTCGCTTTTACTGTTGTTGGTAGTGTACATTTTCAGTCGGCCTTCAATTAGTTTTTTGATGGATGTACAGGACATTCCCAAACATGACGCTGCAGCTACCACAATAATGCCTTTTCGGAATGCCGTGTTTTAACTTGATCATAAGTTCGCGTTTGCTCAGGTCAACATTTCTACTAATCAAACTAGTCATTTAAACAGCGCGTGTTTCCAGTCCGTGAAAGTCTGGTCCGCCTCCGTTGTGTAGTGGTTAGAGCGTCCGCCCGGAGAGCGGAAGGTCGCGGGTTCGATCCCCGACAGCGTCATGCCAAAAGACGTTAAAATATGGTACTTGTTGGTCCCTGCCTGGCGCTCGGCATTAATGGGTACAACAAGGACTGGTCGGCTCGGAGTCAGTAGAATGTGTCTGAGTGGGGTATTTATGCTTCACTACGGCATGGTATCTCAGTGGGCTAGCACTATAAAACCAGCTTCAGTCTGGGCTAGTACAAGCAGCCTCACACACACACACACGCATGCACGTCGTCATATGAGCGAAATATTCACAAGCACGACGTTAAACCCAATTTCACCTCACCTCACCGTGAAAGTCTGCCCAGGGACGCTAAGATGAACCCTGACTCAAGTGTTTCAGTTGTATTGTCATTTCGAAGTAGTGAGTTTTCAATCTAGTCGCTGAGTGTCTGAATGTTCGTGAGGCTGTCTGGGGTTGAATTTCACTGAACTGGACCCGCACTGGAAACTGGAACTGGTGCGTGTTTTTGGAACACACAGATCCTTGGAACCTGAATGTAAAGATCACGATGGAATATTCTTACATACCTGTGGGTGAGAAACCCATGTGAGACATATATGTGCAGCATGATATTTACTGAAATATCATGAGGTTTTAAATGATTGATTGTTTGTTCGCCTAACGAACAGCCAGCAAGCAGCAATATTCCAGCTGATATAATAAATAATTTAATTGAATCTCGAGTAGACAATCCAGTAATCAACATCATGATCTTCGATCTACGCAATTTGGATACGGTGACGTGTCAACCAAGTCAGCTAGTCTGATCGTGTGGCACCCGATCCCGTTAGTCGCCTCATACGACAAGCATGGGTTGCTGAAGATCAATTCTAACTCAAATAATCTGAATAGGTGGTGAAATCTGAACCAATATATCATCTCAATGATGAATGGTTATTGAATAATGACCGCAAATAAACCAAAATAAAACCTACAAAATGAAAACATGACAGAAATTATAAGTTTGATTAACCTTAATCTGCTAGCAGATTGTATTTTTCAGATTTGTGAGTCCGTAAGTATTTAAGTAAGTCAGTTTTTCAACCATAGTTGACTTTAGGATTTTTCAAGATTGGTTAGCTTATTGCCTCAAAATGACGGATTAGAACTCTAAACCATCTCTTCTCTTTCAGCGGTAGGATTTATTGGATCTTCATGTCAGAACAACTCGGAGTGCACCGTGCCAGACTCTGTCTGTGTCAACTCGGAGTGCATGTGTGACCCAGGGCTGTCCTTCTCACCACTGTCAGCGACCTGCAATGCCAGTAGGTACAATTTTATCTTTCTAATAATGATGCTCTCAAGTAACTATGAAAAAAGTGCCAGGTGTAAGTTTTCAGCATATAAGATGGATGTATTACTATGAATTATTACTTTTGTCACAAAGTTGACGTGTTGATTAAAGCTTTTGTTATATGACTGCCTTTTGTCAGTCTTCATTGCTGACAATTATATGCAGCATTTTAACATCTTCATGATGCCTCCTTATTTATGAGGTGAAATATCTCATTACAGCTTGCACCTCGTACGGTCCTCATTACACTGCAGTACACGGCTACCACATCGGTCACAACAACATGGCTACTTTCAGGGAGGTCACTAGACAGCAGTGCAGAGAACACTGCTCAAGCACGACCAACTTTGTCTGTCGGTCAGCTGATTGGGCAAACGGGAGGTGTGACCTCACTTCGGCAACTCTGAAGACTGTCCATGCAAATAACTACTTTAAAGGACAGGATAAGGAACTCAAAACGCATTTTGTTAGAGAATGTGAAATATAACCTTGTTGCCAATCTTCCGTGTTCTCTTTGAATTACTAGTATACCAAACCTGGCTCACCTGAACGAATAGCACATGCTTTTTCCCCCCCCCTTGATGATTTTAGGTTTTTGTTTTTTGTTTGTTTGTATTTTTGTTTGTTTGTTTTGTTTTGTTTTGTTTTTGTTTGGTTTGTTTGTGTGTGTGTGTATGTGTGTGTGTTTGTTTGTGTGTGTTTGTGTGTGTGTTGTTGTTTTTTTGGTGTTTTGTGTGTGTGTTTTTGTGTGTGTGTTTTTTTTTGTGTGTGTGTTTGTGTGTGTGTGTGTGTGTGTGTTTGTGTGTGTGTGTGTTAGGGATGGAATCCTTAAATCATCACACCGTTCGTCACTGTTTGCTCGAATTGCTCGTGTCTCCGTTTTATGCCATACAACTAGAATATTGCAGACTGCGGTCCTAAATAACAAAATATCGAACCTGAGTTTGAAAACTCATTTTCTGCTAGACTAGGTAACTGAACTTTGGCGTTTATGATTTCCAATATTAACGTAAGGTCTACATTAAAAAAGGTAAAGCCTCTAGTAAAAAACAAAATGATAAATAAGGATTATGTCTGATTGGAATCTTTGATGAGTTGATGGTAAGCTGGAGGTAGGTAGCCTTGATCACGTTTGTTTCTTGGAGTCTTTTGATTCGGATCTGTTCGTTTTTTCATGCCATAGGCTTCTCCGCTTTTTTGAAAGTACACCCAATCCATACAACTGTAAAAACATTTCCTCGTAGTTTTCTTGCAACAATAATCTTTCCTGCACTTGCATGATGACGGTCGTTGAATCTCCATCGAAATGCCATTCCTAATTGTAATAAAGCCTTGCAACCATACTCTGTACATCACTTGCATCATAATAGTGGTTGAATACCGTAAAGTACAGGATAAGGAATTCGTCACGCACTTTGCTAGAGAATATGACATATAACCTTGTTGTCATTCTTTCAAACGTGTTCTCTTTGAAGAGTACCATACTTGGCTCACCTGAATGAGTTGCACTGACTTCACAAGGTCACTCCATTGAAAAAGGTCGCTCCTAATTGTAATAAAGCCTTGCAACCATACACTGTACATCACTTGCATGTTAACGGTGGTTGAATCTTCATCGAATTGTCACTCCTAATTGTAATAAAGTTTTTCACCCATATAACTTATCTTTACTTTGTTGTTAATATTCGAGTGCCATAATGTATATATTAAAGTTTGGTAAATGTGTACTTGGCAAACGAACCCGTGACAATCCAAGTTAGACCAATGCTTGTCGTAAGAGGCGACTAACAGGATCGGGTGGTCAGACTCACTGACTTGATTCACACATGTCATCGTATCCCAGTTGCGTAGATTGATGCTCACGATGTTGATCAGTTGGCTGGGTTGTCTGTTGTATTAGCTACACGATTCGATTGGGGTTCGTTTGGGCGAAAAGTATGGTGATAATTCCTTTGTGATTCTTATTAGGTTAAATCAACTATAACACCACACCACACCACACCACACCACACCACACCACACCACACCACACCACACCACACCACACCACACCACACAACACTGCTCTAGACATCACCTGACACACTGCTCTAGACATCACCTGACACACTGCTCCAGACATCACCTGACACACTGCTCCAGTCATCACCTGACACACTGCTCCGGTCATCACATATCACACTTCTCTAGACATCACCTAGCATAGAGCTCTGGACATCACCTAGCATACAGCTCTAGACATCACGTGACACACTGCTCTATACAACACCGGACACAATGCGTTAGACATCATCTGACACACAGCTCTAGACATCACCTAGCATAGAGCTCTGGACATCCACCTGACACACAGCTCCAGACTTTACCTGACACACAGCTCCAGACACACTGCTCTAGATATCGCCTGGCACACAGCTCCAGACATCACCTGACACACGGCTCTAGATATCGCCTGGCACACAGCTCCACATCACCTGAAATCCAGAGACATCACCTGAAATCCAGACATCACCTGACACACTGACATCACCTGACACACTGCTCTAGACATCACCTGAAACACTGCTCTAGACATCACCTGACACACTGCTCTAGACATCACCTGACACACTGCTCTAGACACAACTAGACATACTCTAGACATCACCTGACACACTACTCTAGACATCACCTGACACACTACTCTAGACTACCCGACACACAGCTCTAGACATCACCTGACACACTACTCTAGACATCACCTGACACACTACTCTAGACATCACCTGACACACTACTCTAGACATCACCTGACACACGGCTCTAGACATCACCTGACACATTGCATCTAGACATCACCTGACACACTACTCTGGACATCAAGACACACTCATCTCCTGACACACTACTCTAGACATCACCTGACACACTGCTCTAGACATCACCTGACACACAGCTCTAGACATCACCTGAAACACTACTCTAGACATCACCTGACACACTGCTCACCTCCTGAGACATCACCTGACACACAGCTCAATACATCACCTGACGCTCGCTCAAGACATCACCTGACCAAATACATCACCTGACATCTCATCACATGACAAACCGGGCTACACGTTAGCATCTCCTGCAGGCCACTTTCCACTTTACTTACGTCTTCAGCCGTATCCGCTTAAGTTCTTTGCTCTCGATGCCCTCTAAACAGCTTTACTGAACACTGTTTGCTCCTTTAAGCAGATTTAACAGGTGATGTTTATTTTATCAGCCTGGGGGGAACAATAGTTTCAGGCATGTTTTGCATAGTCAGGACTTGCCTGGCCTTGGTTGCCTGTATTGACGAATGTTTGAACTATAACACAGTAGCCCCTGGATTCACATCAGAGCTCATGTCAGTTATGGTATTATTGATAAAATGAGACCATAGTTACACCCCACACATGTTAAAACATTGTCACTAACTGTAAGGCCAGGTGCGAACTCATCACCAATGCTGTTTAGTTTGTTATTAGAATACAGGGGAACTTTCTTTGGATCACATTGAAGTAAAGGGACAACTGTTATCTTAAATCCATTGAATAATTTAACATACGTATAAGTTGTATTACTTGTGTTAGTGCATGAGGATGGCAATATATTGTATGCCCAAAATCCTGTAAAGATGCAAAAGAATGTAGATATATTTGAAAGATATAATATTTAATATTCATTTGTAAGGGTATGTTGGAAATGAAGTCTATTATGTTGGGAATGAACAGAAGATGGAAGTATTTCCTTGGAAATAAATAGGAAACGGTGGGAATTGTGAATTAATATACTCATTTGAGAATTCTTTATCGGGGATTAATTATATTGAACACAAGAAGGAAATTCCGCATGGAACAAGCTAAATCTATGCATTATATCCTACAAAAGTGAAGCTCTAGCACTCAATCAAGAAATAGTATTCAGAAGGTACAATGTGACTTTTTCTTAAATGCCTTCCTTTAAAAAAGATAATGATTGCCTGTATGACATATATTGCGCTTGAATCTTGCCAGAATCGTCTTCTTTGGTTTTGCATTTATCCATTTTTCTGAAATATAGAAAAACTTGATAAATTTTAAACATGTTCTCAAAATGTATAGTATACATATTTACTGAAACACTAATCAGTTGAGGAAGTCTTCAACCGCCTATGTACAGGCAGGTGTTTGATGGACATGAACACTTAAGTTGATGGAAATGCTTGAATGCTTGATATGGTAATAGTATCATAAATCACGATGAATTAACAGCAAGAGAACACCTCATCTCAATTATTTGTCAGAGGCTGAGTACAGGTACAAATCCAATTTTGCAATAAAACCAAAAACAAAACCCCATAAAAATGTATGTAGACAATGGTATTTAACCTCTGCACTTAGCTTTACGTAATTCACAGTTCCTTGATTGTTTGATGAATTCCGCAATAAATCCATCATATCTGTTTCTATTTTCAGAAAAGCTTGTGTCTCATTCTCGTTGTTGATACAAAGAAAATATCAATGTCCCACATTATAACTAGTGGTGTGACGATTCATAACGCATTGATGCATCGATCGATACAATGAATCGATACAAAGTTATATATTATTGTATATCCCGGGCTAAAACGGGCTATAGATCACCATTAGCTGAAGGTAGGTCACCATACTAGAGACCATGCGTACCTTTGCTACCTGCATGTACCTTAGCTGGATTTACATCTCAGCCGCTGGTGATTGTAGGTAAATTTAGCCATTACTTAAACTCACAAAAATACTACATTTTATAATATTCGGTAAGCTGAATTCAACATATGTTATATTTGGGATTACACTTTTTTAGTAAAGTACAAATTCTAGTATTTTGGGGGTTGCGTCCCATCCGGGATTCGAACCCACACCCTCACCTTCGAATCCCGGATGGACTCAACCCCAAAAGTACTTGAATTTGTACTTTACTAAGTGAGTGAGTGAGTTTAGTTTTATGCCGCACTCAGCAATATCCCAGCTATATGGCTGCGGTCTGTAAATAATCGAGTCTGACCAGACAACCCAGTGATCAACAGCATGAGCATCGATCTGCGCAATTGGGAACCGATGACATGTGTCAACCAAGTCTACGAAACTGACCATCCGATCCCGTTAGTCGCCTCTCTACGACAAGCATAGTCGCCTTTATGGCCAGCACATGGGTTGCTGAAGACCTATTCTATCTTCACAGGTCCACTTTACTAAGAAAGTGTAATCCCAAATATAACATATGTTGCATTTGACCATTTTTCTGTATGATGGCTTTAGGGGTTAACGTGTGTAGATTAAACACCAACATGTATAACGATTGCGAACAACTGCATGCATATTAGTGCTTTGAGGGCACACCTAACGTCATTTGATCGCATTGTCATACTCCGACTTACAACCAGTGATAACTCCTTGTCCAGGAACAGTCATCGCCAAAGCTCCGTTATAGCATGTGCAACACGTATATTTCTGGCTCTCGTCTAGAAGGGAGATACATGTATCCGAAAAATGATGATTTCGTGTGGGGAAATATGAAGAATACATGGTATAATCACC